GTGAAACGCAGTTTCGTTGGAGAAGGCCAAAAATATATTCAAGCGGATGCACTGGCAAAGGTGTCGGGTGTTGTGCATCGTCAGTCAGTAGCTAGTGCCGTCTTTAATGTTACTAACAATACGTTAAGTAAAACTGCTGCAGCGGTGAAAATGGCGTTGAAGCATCTGAAGGTGGATGAGGCTTTAAGAGCTGGAGTATCTGGTAAAAAGATCGACATTGATAAGGTAAGCCAGTAGCGCGATCGTCGTTGAAAGAGCACCTCTTAACCACAAAATGGCTAACCATGTAGTTGTGGTCGCTAAAAGTGTTTGTCTAACCCATTACCCAGAACAAGGCCTGCCGGAATTTAAGCAAAAACTTCAATTGAACGGAACAGACCTAATCGAAATTAGTGGTTATGACAGCGATAGTCTGTTGCCTGTATGATTACGGCAATCAATGTGGTGTCCGTGGAAATAACCGTAGAAAAAAATAAATATCCATGAAAAAAATAATAAAAACATTTTTCGAACGCTAATTTCATCAAACCGTCAAAAATTTGTCCGAAACCTTGAGAGCAAATTTGTGCATTTGTTTTATTCATCCATCTTACACATGGTGTTGACCGAAGCTTGTGAATTTTCTGTCGAATACAAAAATTCCCATTTGTCACAAACTTCGAACTGGCCAAAATCTGACTACCACATGACGATCTGAATAAAATCAGATCACTTTTACAAAAAAACGTGCTGTGAGCAATGTGCAAAATTTTAGTTGATGGCATCAACTACGACCACTCTGTTGAGCACAAATATTTTGTTCACACCATCGAGTGTGCCGTTTTGTAGTGCACCTCAAATAGACAATAAAAGGTGAGTGGACGAAAGAATTTAGTGGTTATAACAGCGATAGTCTGCTACCTGTATGATTTTGGAAGTAATTGTAACATTCGTGGAAAGAACCATAAGAAAGAAATATTTTTCGAACGCTAATTTCAACGAATCGTCAAAAATTCCGATAGGTAAATAATTCTCCGAGCTAATCCTGAACCATGTCGAAGACGTCGAAGTCTCTCTTCTTTCAAGGATTACCCTGCTCGAGCCAAATTCGAAGACAGTTAAAAACTCACTAAAAAGGAATCATCCTGAGGGAACGAGCAATAAATGCTCAGAGAACAAGCACTCGTCAAAGCCTAGCAGTGCTCTTTCAGGAGAAAATCGGTTAGTATCATGCGGATGTGTCCTATATTATTGAGTGTATTCCTATAACCTCTACAGCTTTTTTGTTGAATTCTCAGTTCTGAACCGTTGTAACTGTTGGCTGAATGAGAGATTCATTGATTGCAATGAATTTCAAAATGCCAACATTATAAGTTTATTTGAGAATGATAACCAGACTCATGCAGTTCCGAAAGATACGCGACTGTTTAAATTTATTATCTCAATAGAAGAATTTGTTCTCGATTCAGTAATGTATTCGTTGAAAAATCCTCATTCATCTTCAACATTGAAATGTTGAAGAAATGATGGCAAGTGAAATAAACTGACATCTTCTTAGTTCTATCGGAACAATTTCTGCATTAGCGTCTGAAAACGTCTAAAAAGTCAGTCGATTTGCTGCTTATCACATCGTATAAAGCACCCATTATAAGAGGCTAATTCATACAGGCAATCGAAAAGCAGCCAAGCTTCAAAAGCCAGACGACTCAAGTCCGAGGGGAAATCGCCTGACAAAAAGCATTCGACAGGGAGGCGACGTCTTCGGAGAAGGGGCACCACCTACAGAAGGACAACTACGACTGATGTTGCTAACTCGAAATGATTTATTTTAATTTGATGTTTCAACTGAAGTGAAATGATACCGTACCAATCGTTTCGTTATCTTCCTGTACATATATGCAACGTTGTATTCTTCCGATTTGAACGTTTCAAATAATAAATATTTGTCCCAGCCATACATAAATATATAATCATAAGTTCACAAGAAGTCTTCTCACCAAATCCAGATCTCCAAATCAATGATTCGTCAGGGATTTTTGGAAAGAATTATGAAATGATATCCGACGATTAAATGTGACTGATACAGTGAATTTTAATAATTCACAAGTAAAACAAATATAAACAATATTGACTGCCTATTTTTGCAAGCACATTTGCTTATTTCACCTACTCAACTTAACGAAATAATATGCCGGAAGAGGGTCTCGTCAACTAAAACCTAGCCAGATAGTGAATGAATAAACGAAGTAGTCGTCAGAGATCAGATTCGTCAATAATTTAAAGTAAAAACAGAAACTTGCTGCTAGTCGTCCATTGGATTTGTCCACAACCTTATCTGCTGCTTCTACTTACAATTAGAGATACTTACAATTGAATCTCAAAATTGCTTCAGAATCAGTTTGAAATTTTGCATTACATTCAACTTCATTTAATCAGCAAATCAAACTCAAATCAAACTATTTTTGGGCTCCTTCTGAGTCCCTCTTCTTAGAAATCATTGGGCAATATGGGAGGGTATCCCAAAACCTCTGTGCTGGCCAGATCAATAGTCCAAGTCCGAATTTCATGAAGACAGATGATTCCAAACGCTATTATCGTTAGCTGCGTGGAAAGAAGAATGCCAAGGAAGGAAGGATGTGATATTGATGATAAGAGAGAGGCATAAACATTCAACTTCGTCGATGAATATTATTGTACCTTTTCAGCATTTCAATAGTTTTATCATTCATCATGTTTGTTGACTGTCTTCGGTTCCTTTGTACAATAGTTCTTGTGGCAGTTTTGTTTATTCAGAATATTTCTGTTGTTTTTGGATAAAGATTTGACGACGGAAGTAGATTGATGCCTATCATCTGTATTGAGGTTTGCAGTTTACATCTTACATCTTACTCTCAATAACAGTTAAAGTCTCGCGTAAGTAAATTTGAGAATTCGGTCAGTAATTTGAAATCAGCCAAACTCATTTGTGTAATGATGACATTGCTGGATGGATTGCATGTGCTGCTGATGTGTTGCAAATGATTGATGAGATCACTCTTGACTGCATCGATAAGCAGTCGAGAATTGGAATTGTTTCATGGAATCGAACGGATCACACACACAGAAAGAAGGCAAGCATTTCACTGAACGGCGATTTTGAGCCAGATCAACACCGCTCTCAAAACAGCGAATATCGAACCATTTTGTTCAAATTTTGAATGAATTTTCAATTTTCATGGAAATGTTCTCACTCACACTGACACTTTATTAACAGAGGATTCTCGTGGGTTCATCTCATTCTTCAAAATTTCTGTTACTTGCTAAATACGACCAATACAACTTGGTGGCTGGATACTAGATATACGCCGAATCATAGTCTGGCTCAGGCTCACAGCATTAATGATACTGGTACACTACTCGGTCAATATGTTTCCAAAGAAAGCATTATCAACATTATAACAAACACATTATTATTGGGGACATCGAGTGGTTGTTTTGTTAATCGCTGTGAGCGATCGGCGGAACGTTTATATTGTAGAGTTATGATTATTTATCGGATTGGTATTTGGCTACGTTTAATTGTGCAAAGTATTCACGGCAACTAATTAATTACTCGGTTGTGTTCAGTTGGCCTGCTCGCCTAGCCAGCGGGGTGGCGTAAATTGAGGCTAAAACAATGTGCACGGAAACGCGAGCATTGTGGCCAGTAACGTTACAAGCGTTTGATAGCCTGGCCAATCTAGATTTGTTATCAAATCAAATCCAGATTTGATTTGATAACAAACACACGAATCATGTCACCGCTATGGAATTACACACTCAATGAACGTCGCACAACACCACTCAAAATGAGAACAACGTTGAGGTTTATTGGTTTCACATACCAACCGCACGTTCAATGCTTTAACAAAAAACAACAAATAAAATTTGTATAAGGATGACAATGACAACTCAATCAACACTCTGCAATCTCATCTCATCTGCGAGCAGCCAGAACACTCGATGGTTTCACTTCATTCAAATTTGGGATCACCATATCCTGAAATTAGCATCCCAGATTATCTTTTATATTTCTAATGCATCACATAATTCGTCCCAGCTAGACCTACCTATACAAACATAAGTTCACAAGAAGTCTTCTCACCAAATCCAGATCTCCAAATCAATGATTCATTGGGATTTTTGGGAAGATTTATGAAATGATATCCGACGATTAAATGTGACTGATACAGTGAATTTTAATAATTCGCAAGTAAAACAAACATAAACAATATGAATGCATAATTGAATTGAACAAAACTAAATACCAGCCTTATAATTAGTCAATATAGCAGATGCCAAATGCAATTGGAAAACAGGACGCAGTCCTTTAAAACAGAAAACAAGGAGAGGGGGGGATTAAACATGAATCGGATGCAAAATTTAGTGAAGTGGTGAAAAGAACTAACGCTTATTGTTCGCCTACACCTTCATTTGTTTCCGTTTTATCATAGTTGTGCACACCGAGTAAACTGCAGCAAATGTGACTCAAATAAAGGAATAATAAAGGAATAACAAACCATCGCATCAACCATCTGTTTCGTTTCAGGATCAACATCGATCTGCGTTAGCTCTCGTGGGTCGACCACAGAGATCTCAGGCATGTAGTTATCACGACGTTCACGTTCCTCCTCTTGCAACTTGATTGAAATACCGCGCACTGCGCCATGTTCAATTCGTTTCATCAAATGCGTTATGAATCTGCAATTCAAGGATATACATCGAACAATTTAAAAACAGTTTCATCCATTATATGTGTATCAATGACAGAGTTATGGCAAAGATAGATCAGTCAGGCGACAATCCAATCAGTTTCTAATAAACATACAACCTGGAACCACTGTGAATACCGTCTATCTCAGTGTCTCAGTAAATAACTAGAATATTCTAAATATTCCAACGAATATTTGAAATATTTCTATAACTAGAATATTTCAACGTTTGCTGATAACTAGAAAATATTCAGAATCAAACGTTTCAACTGAATTCGTGATCCTGTTGCAATTCACCTGTTCGTGAGGAAATAAACGCAAACGGTTAACTGACGGAACGTCAAACTCACCGTCAGATTGTGACATAAATGCAGTTTCCTGTGCAAATTCTAGCTGCTCCTTTTTGCATGTTGTGCAATTATTAAATAGAAATAAAGCAAACTAAATTCGACAGCCGATAGAGAAAATGACCGACCGATAAATTAGTTGAAAAGTGAACTGAAGAAAGGAAATGGAACGAACCCAGCGATGCGGTTTCGCATTTTCTTGCTTGGAATAACAGCAATTTCCTCACAAATCCTCTTGTTCGTGTGGAAGTCATGAGTGAGTTTTGTGTAGTACTTCTCGATGATAACTCGTGATGCCTTCTTTACGGTTTTCGTACGAACACGTCCACAAACCATCTTGACCGATCAACAATTATTAGCCAATGTTCAATTCAACTCTGCAACAAACCCTGCAAGTCTGTACATCAAGACAATTCGCTACCGCACAGGTATTTATTTTCAGACCATTATTTCAACCACAACATCATTATTTCGACAACAGAACGAACACAGCAAGCAAAAACAACGTGCACAACGTATAAATAACCAGAAATACTGTTGAACTGATGCAAGACCGATGGAATGTTCAAAAAGCCAGTGGATAGAAGAGATTAAGCCACCGCTAAACGATTTGTTAAGCTTTCGCAGCTAATTGTGCAAAAACAATCGGAACGAAATCAAAATTATTGCTCAACTAAACAATTAAAACAACCTAAAAAACCTCAAATAACAATGATGCGGCTTTGAGAGTATATGTGAATCACTACTCTTTGAGTTCTTGAGATTTATGAACCGGTATCCGGGAACATTATCCAGATGTGAATCCGGAAAACCGATGAAAGTGCTCGCACGTTGAGCACACTCCTATTTTTTGATGAAGAATACACTCGATACGGTATTCGTACTCTGCTTGCTAAGAAGTGCGCAATAGACTTCGGCATTTCGCAGCTCAACGTGACTGACTGAACATATTATGCATTTATTAGTGTGATGTCGGAAAGGAAAGACAGTCGAGAACGGGGAAAATCGAGGAGCTTCAAAGGACGGAGAATACCCCGAAAATGTCCGCAGCTGGAGGAACATCGGAGGCGGAGGTTCGTGAGCTAGGACCCTGAAGTTCCCCGGTTTCCGAAATTCCCCGCACCACACCAGTATTTATGAATGAAAGTAATATCTCTATCTGAAAATATTCCTTACATACCATTCACTTATTTCCAGTAACATCTCCTATAGGATAAATGTGTGAATATTCCTTACATATAATAACATCTCTGTGCGGATAGAATAAAGCCAACGGAAGAAGAATGTAATATTAGTGATATTTGTGATAACAAAGAGGCATTAAATCGTAATCAATTTTTGGAGTTGACGAGTGACGATGCAATCGTCAATTAGTGTTTAAGTATAACCCCTTATTTGTGGCAAACAAGAAATATTTCTTGCGCAATCCAATGTTGTTTTTCATAAACACAAAGAATGTGCAAGAAAGAGCATATAACTATTCCATCGTCGATGCATACAAACAATTGAATAATGCGACGTTTGTACTCTTTTCAAATATTCGTCTATTGCAAAGAGTTGAGGTGAGTTGAGAAAAATGTTGAGAAAGTGTAAAACATTTGCGGAATTTCATAACATTCATCTATTTCAAATATCCATCTATTCATCTAAAATTGTCTGCATATTGAACTGCTTTCGTAAGCACGATAAGGCGTTTGGGTTGAACGCAAAAACAAGGCTTTGAATCTCTTCAAGGATAGTGAAAATTTGTACTAAAAGAATCTACACATTCTTTTAAGAATCATCATCATAAGTTTGTCCCAAATTATTTTGCGATGAAAAATCCTATAAAAAATTTTTTCATGTGCACTATCTTTCTCTCTATTTAATAACATCTACACCACAAATCGAACCATTTATTCGTATTAGTTCCATGACCATTTCATCAGTCAAGTTAAGTGCAATGCGGCAATTTTCTTCTTCCTGTCTTACTATTAGTCGTTGAAGTTATTCTTGAATTTCTTTCAGTTGCAGTATAAAAAATAACGAATTGCCAATAATTCAATTGAAATTAACAAATCAAACAAACACAACGAAATGTCTTTATTCACAAAACAACGACATTACAATAAAACTATCATCATAGAGTTCGATCAGCAAAAAACTTCAGTACAGCACTTTAAAATACTTCTTCTCATTCCAAGGCAGCAGGCACTGTTGGGTATCAAGCTCATTCGAACACCTCATAAAATCAAATTTCACTGAATCTTTATTCGATCATAAGGGTAAAAAAATGAAAACAAACAAAAATACTCGAAAAACTGGACGATTATTCAATGTCATTCAACGAATTCTACAAAAATCTCAAAGTAAAAACATGGAGAGATAAAAAGTCAGTTGCGATATCCTTCGTTAATTCTTCACACGGATTGTTCATGATAATCATATGCTTTCGGAAGTTTGAGCAGTAGGAAGAGTGCTCGCGTGAAATAGTATCAATTCTCGCTGATCGCTTCTTCAGGATGCTTATACTGAAAATTCCAACGGAAGTATAGAAGTCAACTTGGAAGAATGAAGAAAAAATTTAGAAAAAACATACAAAATAAAGAATCTTCATAAGATTTGGAAATCGTTTTTCGATTTCGAACGCAAAAACTCAAAATTGGAAGCCCTACAAATTCCTTTCACAAAGAATTTTGCTATGCAAAATGATCAATTGAAATTTTATCAATGAATGTTTCTTATGAGATCTTCTTCAACATCGTACTTTTTATTAGTATTTACTTTAATACTTTCTATTAGTATGAATTTTGTCACAGCTTCAACGGTTATTTCTGAGTGGTGGAAGTCGGAATTTCTGGTTCATTTTTAGACTTTTTGAATAAGGAACGCAAAAAATACCTGGTAATGAGCAATCCTGGACAGTTGTATAAAGCCGATAGCGCCAACGCTCGAACAAACACTAGCCAAATAATAATTTATTGGTGTTATCACAAACGAATATCGTGTCCATATTGCACCGGTCACCAACAGTGCTGTATTCTAAAATTCAATTTCGTAGTGATTCAATTGATTGCACTGATTTGAAATTGTCATCATCAGCATTTTTTGAAGATTTTCGACACTGAAGTTATTTTCTCTTGCGTCATTGTACCAATATATTTTTTGTCATACATATTCCTCTATTTTTCCCAAACCCCAAATTCAGACGTGTAGTCGTGACGGAGCCAAGAACGATACGACTCGTCAGGGAGGCAGACCAACATTGATCTAGGTAGGAATCAACTTTTCGCTTTGTACCTTAACTGTTTATGTACAAGATAAGATACATGTACATGGATGGATATAACATATGCATGATAAAAGAGAATATTTTCATGTACTGTTGTTGGATGATTATGATATCCCTTTGTGCTTCTTGCATGATCATCTTATACTGCCTTATTGATTGGCATGATGAAATGGAACTTTCGTATGTATTGCTTGGATGACTTTACCCCTTTGTGCTCATATGATATTAATTCTTTGTTCGTGTTTCGATAATATGATTCAGTGTTATTGCAAATAAACGCCGAAACGCTGTGGATTAATTGCTATCAATATTTTATAATAATCAGTCAATGCTCCAGAAGCTATGCCTAAAAGCAATGAACCACGATCCTTGGAACATCCATTGCACGTTTGAACTTCAAATTGCACCTAATTGTCATTTGCTGTTTACCTAACCGATGGTATAGAGTTCAAAATTTAACTGAAGCAATCCTTTGAAACAGTCAGTGCAGAAAAAGTATCTGCTTCACAACAAAACGATAAACTTGTGCAGATAATGAATGCTCTTCGTATGTAGCGATAAGCAGCATTCGCGATAAGCAGCAAATAAAATTTTCGTCATCAATGAATCAAAAAACTG